TGCTCAAGGAAGATCAAAATTAGCCATACCAGTACTAGGTTGTCGTGGCAGTTTGTAGGTATTACTTGGGAATTTTATTACTGAAGCTTCCATCTTTTTAAACAAAACAATAACCTGGACCCAAACCTGTCACCATAAGATTCACAGGAATTTTCATAATGTTTGAGCTGATTTTAAAGTCAGACTCTCTTTTTATGGGTCTGAGTTTTAATGTTTCACTGTTATGCTTTTCCCTCTTACTGCTTTCTTTCCTGCACTTGAAACAGGTTAAGAGTGTGAGGAAAGGTGAACTCAGATGCTAGGTAGTCTTTTAAAAGCATTGCCTCTACGCAACATTTTTGCCTTGCAAAGCTTATGGCAGCACTAAGGATTTTGTTGGGTTTTTTTGATCTTTCTAGACATTAAAAAATGTGCATGTGCTTTAGTCTATTTCCAGTAGCTTTATTGCTTAACTATTAAAAAAAAAAAATTATGTACAAAATTATGTGCTTGCAGTGTAGCTTACAGCAGTAAAAGATTGCAGTTACAGTATAACATGTCTGTCCTTCACTGATTTGTTATCTATGTAAAACCAAACCAGTTTCTGACAGTTTTGCTTCCACACATAGTGGTTATTACCATTTTGGGGGGCACTTAAAAGAGGTTTATTGACTCACTCTGTAGTTAATGGCATAGTTTTTCACATAAGCTTATTGGTAAAAAAAATTGCTTCAAAACTGGAGAAGTTTTACCTTTAAAAGCAGAGTACAGATTTGCAGCTTTGGAGTGATGTCTGCAGGTTCACATTGTGTTCTTTAAAACCATGTGTCAACATTCAAAGCAGACAATTAGTTTTAAATTGTTCCTTCTTTGTATGTCAGATGTTTATATACTTTTTTAAGAAGTAGGTTTCATTACACATGAGACTATTAAATATACATCTCTAACAGAAAAGCTGGTTATACCATTGGATGTTAGTATCTTAAAGAAAACGGTGGTAAGACAATGGATTTTTTGCATATTTTTTTTTTCCCTAACCTCTTAGAGCAGCTAATGAAACAAACTTTAAAGAAGGGTAGAGTATCTTGTAGAGAGGGAGTGGGCACTTTCTTCCTTTTTTGACTTTACCACCTGGTTTCTAAATGCCTGCTGTGTAACATTTTCCTGGACTACCTCTAGTGTGCTAAATACTTAAGGGTACTCTAGTTTTTGTGACGGGAAGTGGAAAAACCCTCAACTTAATTGTGGAAAGGTAAGTGGAAAGAAAAAAGTCTTTCAAATGAAGCCTAGATACTTCAACACATGGAGGCATATGGGCATCTCATTTGTAAGCACTTGAATTCTTCTGTTTGTAGAATAACATTTTTATCTTTCAACCTTTCCTTCAAATAGAAAGGAGTACAGGAACACCTGGTTTTGTTCTTCAGCATTGCCAGTCCTTTCGACATCTTGAAGGAATTGTTTTGTTAAGTAATGACCTCTGGTTACTGGAGAAGCTGGAACATGGAGAAGTAGTAGTTTTGTTGGTCACAGATACTACTTTATTTAATCTATACTGACCCAGAATTCTAATGCTGCTGTTGATACTGAAAGTTTGATTCTCCAGGTGTGTATTTATCTAGTATAATGACTGTTCCAGCTACTCTGCAAATGTTAAAATACACCTGGGGTTGTATGACTTTGTGTAACAGGTTTTTCCCAAATACAGCTGATCAGTTTTCTGATTTAATTTTTTTCAGCACTTTACAAAAATGTTTTCTTTTTCAGGGTGGATTACAAGAAGTGGCTGAGCAGTTAGAGCTGGAAAGGATAGGACCACAGCATCAGGCAGGATCTGATTCTTTACTCACAGGAATGGCCTTTTTCAAAATGAGAGAAGTAGGTTGACATGCTGGTTTCATCTCCATGATAATAACATGCTGTGATAGGTGGAATTGCTGCTTCTGATAAGTGTGCCATATTTTAAGGAGGTCTCTGGAGGGCTTCAGGGGTCACTCCTTTCTTGTAAAAAATAAGACCACCTGTATATTCCCCAGAGTAAGAGTGAACCAGCTCTATTGATTCCCTGCTTAGCTGCTGTGAGTGAGTATTACTTCCTGTTTCTAGCGTGTGGCTGGCTTTTGGATTTTTTGTGGGATTTTGTTTTGGGGTTTTTCCCCCTCTCTGTTTTGCAGAGTACCTTTTTTTTAGGTGCTGCAGTGAGTTACGAGCTGCTGGAGCCAAACACCTTTCTGGGTGACTGTACTCAAGCCAGGATTTTTTGGAGCTTCTGCTCAGTGAGCACCCAGCTGGTGTGCAGTGCTCCTTGTGCATCCTTCCCTAGCCTGGGGGCGGGGGGAAGAATGTCTGGACTAGCTACTTCTAGGTAAACTTGCAGGCTACAGGTATATTAAATAATGACTTTCAGGCTGCTGTGGAGAATGTCCATGAATGTCCTTACCATTGAGTAAAGCACAGATTAACTCAGGTTCTAAAAGATTGTACATTGATCAGTTAATTCAAGGTTTGCAGCAAGGGAAATCAGGTCTTACAAGCTTCATGTATCCTTACTGCTTGTCTGCATAGAACAGAAAGATATTAGGATATTTTGCTTTAGCAGAACAAACAAATATTGAAGGGGGCCTCTTCTGGAAAGCAGTTGCACTGGTCAAATGCCAGTGTATCTGGATATGCCATTCTGCCAGCAATTCAGTGTCATTTAGCACGTCTAAATGGCAGTAGCAAACCTTATCTTTTAATAAGGTTTAGTATTGTATGCTGAGGTGTCTACCTTCTGTAATCTAGCTTTTTGTATAAAGGAGAAAATTACTACAAGTTTCTGACAAATACTAGTGAGACAGCAGGTAAAAATTAAATGCTGTGATTTAAGCTGGTTTGCTCATCCTAACTGTCTGTTCTGCCTCTGCTGGAGGTGTTGCAGTTGTCAAACAGGTCATGGGCTACAGATGCAGTAGAGAGGATGGGCATTTCTGGTACAATCCAAGACAGGGCTGCCAAGTGCTGTCTGCCTGGTGTTAGTCTTTTGCTCTTGAATTTGAAACAAAATCGAAAGCAAATAAAGGAAAAAAAGAGGAGGTATATGATAATCATGCCTAAAATATTGCCTTTCAAGTTAGTTTTCTAGAGGAAAATGTTCAAACCCATGATTGTTTCTCTAATGAGATGCAGTTTGTGTTACATGGCAAATTAGCTTCTTGAATTTGTTTACCAGAAGCTCTTATTGGGAGTCGTAGAAATCTTTAAGGTTTTTTCAGTGCAAAGCATTTGCTTAATTAAGCCAACAAAGATTGACTAGGATGATTTTTTTCAGTATTTTCAGAGGTTCTTTGCAAATACAGCATTTCTAAATAAGGGTACAGTAGTCAGCAGAGATACATTTAATGTGCGCTTTTAAAGCCTTTTCAGTAGAGTTCATTGTTTAACAATGTATTTCTGATTGAAAAAACATAATTTTACAATGCTTTTAGAGGTACAAAATTAATAATGTTACTACTGTGTTACTGATTGCTGCGAAGGAGTTGCAACTTGCTGGGATTTTGAGTCCCAGACAAAAATTTACTGACCTCTTCTTCCCATCAGAAATTCTTAAATACTGATACTACAACAGTAGAGCTGTTGTTTTGGGATTTTTCTTACCTGTTTATTTCTTTAAGAACTAGTGGGGGCTTTAAAACTTTTAATTGAGGTCCCCAATTCTTGCAGTACAGAACTTTCCAACCAGACCATGCTGCTAAGAGCAAAGCTTAAACGGAGAAGTTTTTAGCTTGTGTGGTATTTGCAGTCCTCTGCATTTAGATTGCATATTGTGTCCACCCTGCTCCAGTGTGCTTCTGGCTGCCTTAGGTTTCTGATGTTAATGTCGTCAACCACTGGGATGTCCAGGGTTGCTGTGAAATTTTTACGGTGAAGAACTTTTGTGTACATGTCATTCTTCTTTTTTACTTTTTCTGGGTAATTTGTGGTTTTGCTTGAAAACCTAAGTCTGAAGGTAGAATATCAGAATACTATGGGGTTTCATATGTCTTCCCTTGAAATGTTCTGTTGCAGTTAAGACTTGTAAGATGTAAATGCGGTCTTAGTACAAAATCTACTTTAATTTTGCTGTTCCTTTTTAAATTAAGTCCCCCTCTGTAAGGAGCAAGCTGGAAATGCATCTTTCTGCATTTCTCTAAACTTCATAATGGGTTTTGTGCTTAAACATTCTCCCTACCCCCAAACCTTTATAATGTAAATCAGGATATACCTCCATTTCAAGACAGAGTATGATGAAAACTGTCACACTGAGGAGTAGGTAGAGTATGGGCACCAATGATGGATGCTAAACATACGCCCATTGTGAGAAACTCCACAGAAATCAGTTGGAGAAATATCTTTGTTGCACTTGCAGAAGAGTGAGTGATAACTGATAATACAAAACTACCAAAACATTGCATTTGTTCGTTTTGTCAGGAAAGGTGCACAGGAAGACTGATTGTATTCCTTGACAGATTTCCTTTGAAGAATCATGTCATATAACCCATTTTGATAATGTGTTGAGATTAAGTGTGTTATGTTAATTATATCATCTTTTGCACCTTGGGATTTGATATCTTATGCTAAAAGGAAAGTAACCTTTTAAAACCTTTTTATAGTTCTGTTTAAACTGAGCCTTTTCTCTGGCAATAATTGTGTCTCTCTTTTAACTCTTTAGATGTTCTTTGAAGATCACATTGACGATGCCAAATATTGTGGCCACTTATATGGCCTTGGTTCAGGGTCATCTTATGTACAAAATGGCACAGGAAACGCGTATGAAGAAGAAGCGAACAAACAGTCATGACATGAAATGAAAGACCATCTTTTTGACCTCCACATGCTTGTATATAGGTTTTATCTCTGGTTAAGCCCCTTGGACAATAAGGCTTTTGTCCCCCTTTCTCAGCACACTTTCTTTTCTGCCTTTCTATGTACTAGACTTGGCTGTTCCTATCACAGATTTTGATCTTAATATCGATATGTAAATTTTTCTGGGTTGCATTTTGGCCTCATAACTAGCCCATTTGTAAAGAAGCATGTATAGGATCAGTGTGGCAGAGAGAAGGGGAAAGGTAAATCATAATGAATAGTCTGGTAAACTTACCTATATTGATCTTCTAGTTTTCTTGTCTCTTTCCCCTCCCTTCTCCAAATTAGCTGGATCTCATTGTAGCTAACTTTCCCATTCATGTCTGTTCCTTCCAGTATGCAGGCGTTTTAGCTATTCAAGATTGTGGACCATCAAATTTGCACTTTAGAGGGTGACTCTGACTCAGATTTTCTGTTTTATTTGAAGATTTGTTTTGTTTTTTCTTTTGCCCTCAGCTAGAAAACAATCATCTGCCAAGTTCAGCAGCTTCATGCTGTATTTCCTTGGTATCTCAACCCATAGAACATGACTTATTTGCTGCATAACCTTTGTTTATTCAAGCAGAACAAACTACTGAAATCATTGTAACTGCTGTTATTTTACTAGTGCTCAGTCATCTTCAAACACATCCTGCACATGTCAACTGCTGGTTGGCCTGCTGTTTTAAAACTGCTCTGTGATAGGGGAAAGAAGCTTGAAAAAACAGCTTTACACCCTTCAGGAAAGAACAGCTATGACTTTAGCATTTTTGCCCTTAAGCTGAGAGTTGAAGGATATTGGAACAGTAGGAGTTTTGTAATGGCACACTTCCCTTGATCAACTTCCTAGCTTTTATTCTAGTAATGTACACCTCAAATATTTTTTATGAAGTCATATTTATTATGTACTTGGTTTGATGATTTGTGAAAGTCAGTTTAGTTGAAGATAAAACCCAAAGATCTGAAAAAATACTATTTAATTGAATTAGGACAATTAAATCGTGCTTTTTTTGTAGTTGCTACAAAGACAGATGTTGCAGATATTTGTTGTAAGACAACAAAATATAAATAACTTATAGCTAATAAAGTTACCTGAGGAGTGTAATGCTAGTTTATTTTTGAGTATATCTTAGCAATATATTTTAGATATATTGTTTTAAAGGATCCTAAAGTACGTTCTTAACTCTGCATAGCATGTGTACAGAGCAGTTGTGCAGGAAGGATTTTTGGTATTGAATAGCTAAATACTAGCCTGAAATGATGGAATGTGCGACATTGTGTGCCTGTGTGTGCGTGCGCACACGTATGTGTGTGCGTGTTCGACACGGAAGTCAATAGTATAAAAATCTCCAAATGTTCGCCAAATTATTCTGTTTTACCTTGTACTTAAAAAAAAAATCAAACACCTTTTTTCATTGAGTTACAATGATGTAACTGGGTGGTCCTTTTTAAACAACAAATAATTTGCATAAGACGGTATTTGTTTTTAAAGCTTTTGTAAATAAAGGCCTAAGAAATGTTTTCTTACATAACAGTAGACTGGTGGTTTTGTTGCAAAATTTTTCCTGGAATGTGGGTATTTAGTCAGTTCAGTTCTGTATTCTGTTTAGTTTAGGCATCATAGTTCTCTTTCATGTGCTTATGAAATGATCTAACTCGCTCTCCCTGACTGATTCCACTTTCAGAGCAGAATTCTCTTCGTGTGTTTCCAGTTACTTCATTCCTACTGACCTGAGTTGCAAGAGTGGTGATTACAATTTACTACTGAGGCATCCAAATCCAATTCGTAATTTATTTTAATACCATTATGCATTAGATGATGATGACTTGTTTTAACTTTGGTTGTCTTTGGCTTTAATAAGATAGGGACTATCTGATGGGAAAACAGGAAGGATTCTTACTGTGGCATCAATCTCTTGTCTTTTCACACTTGAACTGTTTGCTTACATGGAAAATTTGTATACACATGAAATGAAGAACCCCTGAAGTTTGATGCATTTGCTTTAAAGTTTAGTAGCTTTGTCTAAAGCAGACTGATACAGCTATCTCTGGTTACCTGTTGAAGGGAATGACTCTTGGAAGAGCTTTGATGGGTTTTTGTTTTTGAAGTAACTTTTTAGTTGTAGGTCAAAGGAAGTTTTTAGAGGCTTCTAAATGTGTGCCCACAGTAAAAGTTTTACTTCAGACTGGGATGCGCTTTTGAAGCAACTGCTGAGCATCCCACATGCTGTGCTGTGCTTTGCTCTGCTTTCTGTCATGAAACTGTCAAAGCTTGGACTTCTTTTGGAAGAAGCTGAACCCAAAGATGCGCAATAGGTGTGCATGTTGTGGCTGCTAATGAACAGGCAGTCTGCAGGACCAGGCTGAGTTTGCTTAAGCCCTAGCCTAAAATTCTCATGGGGCATTTGTCTTTGAGCAGTTCTACTCTTTATAGTTTTCTTCATGTAAGAAAAGCTTTTCTCAAAAGCCACTGATCAGCATAAAACTAAGATTATGCTTTATTCTGTGTGAGAACTCTTAGTCTGATCTGTGTGATCTGTTGAGAGTTGATTGCAGGTGGGGAGACATCTGGGCATCATTCAGTTTCCATGGCAAAATTAGATTTAGTTTCCATTAAGGAGTGATTTAAATGGTGAATTGTAGAGATTATGAAAAAACTAATTTCTTCTTATGTGTAGGACCATACTTGTAAACTGCAGAGCCTGAAATCTGAATCTCTTTCCAGAGTGGACAGCTTTAATTGCTTTTGCAAAAATAAATGTGCAGGCACAGTTCCAGCTGTCTAGACATGCACCTCTTTGTTCAGAGACAATTCTCTTTCCTGGCCTCTGCTCTTCCCAATACATTTAAAATAGATTGTTGTTTGTTTGTCAGAAGAAATGCAGTATCACAACCTGTTATATTTGATCTTTATTTTTTTTCTTCACTTGTATTTTTGGCTTCTGGAATCAGATGAATGTTCCAGGAACATTATGTTCTCTGTCACGTCTTTATTTAAGTTTTGGTTTGGTTTGGTTTTTTTTTTAAGCATTTAATTCCTTTACTCATTGAGACTAGGCAAGAAGGATCTTTGAGGTGTAAGAAAATAGGTCTGAAACTTATTCAGAGTATTTGAGGCTTTTTCCCATATGAACTATGGGATTTGGATATTCCACATGAGGAGGTCTTAATGCTTTAGCACTGAACTTAGTTGAAGATATTTGTTGTTACGTGGGATTTTGATTTAGAAAAGTGATACAGCAATATACTGAAATCACAACACAAACACAATATAGCAATTACATATACAGTTGAATCACAATACAATCTCTATAGTGTGCTCAGTGTCACACTGCTGGGTGATCCCAGTTGCCAGGAAGGAACATGTGGGTTGCAGCCAGCTCAAGCCTGGTGCTCTCCTCAAAGCTCATTTTGCTGGGTGTTCAATTTCTATACTTTATGTTGGGCTGAGCCACATACACTCATCTGTATGTTGGTGTGGCTGGCTCAGGAAAATAATTCTTTCTATAGACTGTTTTAGGGAAGGCCATTTACATAACCAGTTGACCCACCCAACTGATAGAGCTGTTTGTTGGCAGCAAAGGTCTGGTTCCCTTAGTGCTGAGATCAGTTCAGCCTCTTTGGTGACAACTGTGATCACTTCCTACATGCTTTTCAGAGCTTCATGAGCACACACACACTATCCTTGCCTATCTTCTCTATGCCTTCTTCCATTGAAGGGGTTCATTGGCCACAGAATGAAGGCGTGGCTTTATAAGGCCAAATGTTGCTGGGTTTATGTATTTTAAATATGCTACACATTAACGACATGCCATTCAGAGAAAGGAAAAAAAACCCACAAACCAAGGCCCTGGCATCTTCAATTAGGCTTCCTAATAGTATATCTGGTTTTGGTTTGCTGGTTTTTTGGTTGGGGTTTTTTTCCCCCATTTTCTCAAGTGTCATTTTTATGAAACTTGAAACATATGTTTCCATGTCCTCGGTTTTCAACTCCCAATTAGTTTCTCATTGAATTAAATAATAACTCACCTGAACTGAGTGCATTGAAAGGAAGAAATTGTTTCTGTAGTGAATCAGTTTTTAGAACTTTCCTGGAAGTTTAATATTAACATGATGTTAATAGATTTGGGATGGCATAGGTTTTAAATAAAATAGACTTTAGAGATTTTGATTTAACAACACTAAGTCATTGATGGCAAAAAAAGCCAAAAGCCTCCTGTTTGCTATGTGACTACACAAATTGTAGAATTTGAGCAAAACCTCACAAATAAAACCTTATTTTTACATAGAGTATAAAACACATAGTTTGTCTCAGTGTACTTTCCCATTCATGCCATGAAGTTCTTTTTCTGGTATATCTGAACATTAGTGTACCTTGGTTTATAGAGATTGTTTTTGGTGTTTTCTTCCCTCTTGCCTGACTAGGTATGGTGGAGAAACAAGGAAGGTTCTCCTGCATTATTTCAGCAGTCTTGGGTTGGGAATTAAATGTGCTCAGTGGTGCCAATTGTGAAGATCTGATTTCTGCAGAGGCTTGTCTCATCCTTTTTCTGCCAGCTCAGATGAGTTGTTCTTTTTTTTTCTGCTTCTACTGAAGTGGTAGAATTGTCTTCCCCAAGTGTGCTCTTTCCTGCACTTGTGAGATACTTGCCTTAATTAACTGTGGTAAATAATGCAAAGGAAAGAGAGAGGGAGGGGAAGCCTTCCCTTCCCTGTGCATCAGGTAGGAATTGGAAACAGCTGAACTTTTTGAGCTACATTACAGATAACATGCTTTATCTTTTACAGGGTAGCAAATCAGAGTCATGGTTGCAGTTGGCAGTATCTTTAATTTACCCTTCACTGTATAATAGCTGAGCTTTGCAGGCTCCCTGTTTTCCTTCATTCTTGTCCCTCTGCATGCTCTGGAGTAGATTTGTAGTATCCATGGTAGGGTTTTCTATGAAGGTTAATTGCTAGTGTGCTTATCATCACTAAGCTACTGATTTTCTCTGTTGTACTTTTATCTGTTTGAACTACTGGCCAGTTTAATCTCTGGTATGACAGAGAAAATAACTGGAAAAAGGTTCTTGTTGTTCAGCCTGTAGCAGACAGTTTGTATATGTTGTGTATTCTGTCTTTATAACTGGGGCTCCTGAGGTGAACTGAGAATTGTTTTCAAGGGAAAATGACTTCATAAAATGGTTACTGTCAAGAAGTGCTGGGTCTGTTCCAGTTATGCCAATCAGTTATAACTGTGAGCAGCAGGAGGTGGGAAAGGGGATGTGGCTCACAGCATGCTCTTCCAACTGCTGCAATCAGTCTGTTGGGCCCATCTGCTTGAGAAGATTACGGTGATCTAGGCTGAAGCATCTCATCACTGTCCCAAATACTGGAAACTACATAGTCAAATTTCAGGATGACAGAGTTACTGTATTTCAGTGATGGGTGCCATTAGGAAAACTTGAAGAAATGAAGGAGTTATCTATCTAGAATAAACCTTGGGAGGGGAAGGGATAAAGCGGATGTAGATATTGATTGTACATTTCAAATAGAAGACTTTTTTCAATCTTCTATGGAAGGGAAGACAGAGAAGAATGATGATCAAAAATTTAAAAAGGGAACAATTGAAAAAGTTACAGTAGATGCTGCTTGCTCAAAATTTCAACCCAGGAGGCTACTGCTCGCCCTGTCCTCTTACCAGGTCACTGATGAACAAGCGATGGCTGCAAATGAAGTGGCAACAATCACCCCATCTCCGATACAGCAGAGTAACATCTTTTTTAATCTTCTTGTTTTTGATGAGACAATACAAATACAGAAGGGTTTTAAATAGAAAATGGGAAAAGCTCGGAGTATATATTGCAGATTATATCTCAACTGCAGCAGGTGAAAGCTGATTCCATCTTTACATAGCTGTTCCTGCATTTTCAGAGGCTCCCGTGTAGACAGTCTCATTCCTCACTGCATTAGAGGTGGATCTAGCACTTTCCTAGGGGAGGCTGTTGGCAAAGTGCACAGGAGCAAGTCAGGCAGATCAGAAGAATATGGTGTGGGAGGGATTGGAGAGCCCTTCTGAGGCAAAGCTGCTGTGGGTGACAACCCCAGTAACATACTTCCTGTCCTTGCACCTCCTCAGTTCTATAAAGTAAGGAGGATTTAAGAACCCCCTCTTTTTTAGAGTAAAATTCCACCTTTTTGACCTTCAGCAGTATCCAAAAGAGTGCAGCTGTGTCTGCTCTGCCAGTATGAAGACATGGAGCATTCTACCCATAAAAGACCAAAACCAATTTGTTTCCCTTTTAACCTGCTCCACAGTGTAGGTGTTTTGTGAGGTGCTAGGGATCTAGCAGTTAAACTGGGGAGGGAAAAGTTACCCATAAAAGTCCCTGGTGAAGGGGCAAGAAGGGACATTTACACGAGGTTGCTAATGAAGCCATAGTCAAGATGATGGCTGTTCTGCTGTTCAGGTATGCTGTCAGTAAAACCAAAGGTAGCGTGTCCATGACCACTATGTACGTGACTTGCTGAACATAAAGCATTTATTTACGTGAG